GTTTTCGCACAGTTGACAGTTTAAGGTTCTTTTTATCAATTACGAGAAAAATCCAGAAACAAATATATCGAGTAATTAATTCCACGTTTCGGACTTTAATTGGACGCAGGTCTTCATAACCTTAGCACCTTAAATAATTAAGCCCCATTTAATTAATTAAAAACTAATTAAATTTGCGAACGCCCCTAAACGTCTCGCCCAAACAGCCGCCGCCGCCAAAAATAATTTATTTTCGTTATTCTTGTTTAAGGCCGACAGTAAGTACACAAAAACGACACGAGCTCTAAAATAAAGTTAATTTTAGCCGTTTACCTTTTGCAGCTTTCGTCCACGAGCCGGATTACCAACTCAATTCAAGTTTTCCGGGCCATATGTTAGCCTCAGTTTAATTAATGCGAGCACCTCGCCCCCCAAATTTTTATGTTGTTTTAATTAAAATCTTTAACGAATGCAAAAAGGCGAATTTTTCTTTCTGCTCGAGGCGAAGAATTTCGCGCTTTAGCCGAAACATAAACAAACCGACAAAATTAATAGCTGGCGTCTTAGTCTGCGAAAAAAATGTAGACGTCAAACTAGCCCATGATTAAATTCCAGGTCGGCGTTGACGGAAGTTTGCTAATTAAGCGGGACGTGGGAGATGGGTTGTATTACAAAATTATTGAATAGTAGCCATAACTTTCCACCTGGCGGTTTGGGGAAAATGGATGAGATGGGTTTGGATCTAGTTCATAATTTTGGTATTAATAGAGTATATGTTGAGCTAAGTGAAATAAGTTTTTTTCATTACAGTTCATACTGGGAGCTGACAGATGTTTACAACATTTTTGAACGTCAAAATGTTTTTTTTATGACTAGTTTGATCTTAGACGTCAGACAGCACTTATTCAATATCTAAATATTATATCAAGATATTTATATCATTCCAAAATTTGTTTAAAATATCTTTCTTTAGCATATACCGTACACTCATGACAATGCTTAAATCCTTGCCACATAATTTCTTTATACATTTTTGGTTTTCTGCTTAAATAAGTACAATCTTTTTTAAATATTTTAATATGACTTTCTTAATTTACTAGTGTCAATATCAAGTTTTTGAACATTTACTGTCCAAGTGTAAGAGTATGAAAAAGTAGGTCTCCCATTTCCGTTTATCTGTTGTCTGCTGCTCATTTTAATAAACAAGCAATCTCCGAAAATTCTGGGCAGATTACTGTGAAATTTTGGATTTCCGTTAAATAAAAGAAAAATTTGTCTGATCAGTCCACCCAAAAATTTGTTGACGTCATCTCAAAAGTTTATCTAGTAAATTCGATGCAAGATGTCCATATAGTATGTGTCTATAAGTATGATTTATTAATTTATTCCTATTTGTAACTGCAAATATTGCTCAAACATTATTCTAAAATAATTGTGATAAAAATAAAGTCTGATTCATAAACCACAAGTACAGGAGTATCTTATTTTATAAAATTGCAATAGTGTTTACTACGCAAAATTTTGAGGTGACGTCATCAAATTATTATTAGTGAGGACGATTAGACAAATTTTAGTTACCGTTTTATGATATTCCTAACGTACATTTAAAACAAACAAAAAACAAAGAAAGAAAATAAGAAAGAGAGAGAGCAACGTAGAAGGAAAGAAGGATAGAAGCGAAGAAGTATAGAAGAAAATAAGGAAAGTACGAAAGAAATAAAAAAGATAAGAAGGAAAGAAAGAAATAATATAAGAAAAAAAGAAGGAAATAAGGCGGCAATTAGAGAAGGAAATAAGGAAAGAAAGAGGAGAAGAAAGATAAACAAGTCTTAGAGATCCCTACTGTTTTTTTTCTTTAAGAATGCAAATGAGTATTGGCGGTCCTTCGTTTTTTATTTTTGAAACAATCGGTTTTTTGAAAGAGTTTGAAATAATCATGTAATTTTAAAATCAAAGACACAAAGAAAAAAGAAGACAGAAAGAAAGCAGGAAAGAAGAAAAGAAAGAAGAAAATAAGAGAAAAAAGGGAAGAGAGAAAACGGAAGAGAAAAAATGAAAGGAAAAAACGAGAAAAAAATTATGAAAGAAAAAAGAAAGAGAAAAAGAAAACCACAAAGAAAACGATTGTGACTATTTCTTTGTTTCTTTTTATATGAAAGAAGTTTGTTTTATTTTGGAGAGAATCTGAAAAAATCCTGGGGATATCTGTTTATGATGAAGATCCCAAAAGCAAAGAATGAAAGGAATAAAGGGAGGTGGAAAGAAGGAAAGGAAGAAGGAATTGAAGGATAGAAGCAAAGAAGGAAAGAGTAAATAAGGAAAAAAAGGAAAAAGAAGCAAATGATGCGAGAAGGAAAGAAAGGAAGAAAAAATAAAGAAAGAATGAAAATATGGAGAAAAAGAAATAAATAGAGAAGGAAAGTAGGAAATATGGAAATAAAGAAAGATAGAAAATGGGAAAGAAAGAAATATGGGAAAAATGAACTTTGGATCCTGTGGTGTCTAGTTTTTAAGGGACAGAATTTCTTTTCCTTGTGTTTATTTAAATAATTTGAAAAGATTTTGGGAATTCCTCTTTTTTGTTTTTGAAAGAATATGAAAAAGCGGATTCTAAAAAACAAAAAACAAAGGTAAAAGAAACCAAGAAATAAGGCAATGAAGAAACAAAAGGAGATGAAAAAGGAGACAGAGGAGACGGAAAAAGAAAAAGAAGGAAAGAGAGGGAGAAGAGAAGATAGAAAGAAAGAAATAATAAATTGGAAGAGCTTTGTTAGCCCTTTGTGTTTCTAGGATCATGGTCATGGGTATGCTAAAAAACAAAGAAGGAAATAAAGAAAGAAACAATGAAATGAGGAAGGAAAGAAAGATAATGGACGACAAAGAAAAAGGAAACGAGAAAAAAACGGAAAGGGGTGAAAAAACAAAGGAAAAATAGAGAAAGAAAGCAAGAATTAACGAAAGAAAGAAAAAATGAAAGAAAAGAGAGCGATAAAATGAAAGAAAAACAGAATGAAGCAACGATTTGGGGGCCGTCTATTTTTTAAGAAAGTTAAAGAATCTTGGATTCCCTTGTGTTTTGTTGTTGAAGGAATTTTAAAAGATTTTATAGATAAAAATCGGGGAGATATCTTGTAATTGATTTCAGAAATCGATTAAGTGATGCAAAATTATTCAAGTATCTAATTTTTAAATCGATCTGAAGATTTTCATTTTTCCCATTTTCATTGCAAATTTTTCAAATTCGGGCAGAACTTCCTGAAATTTGCTTTATTTACTAGTTCGAGTCTCTGGAACAAAAATTTTGTCTCGAAAGTGGTCTTTTGATTTTTTTCAGATTTTTTTTTTATTATACCTAGTGGAAAATGACGCCTTTCAATTTATGGCTTTCTCAAACTGAAACTAAATTCCGGTTTCGGCCTGAAAATCAACTGCCGCTAATAAAAAATTCGAAGAAATCGATCGTAAATCCGAAAAAAAATTTTCGTATTCCAAAAAATGCTGCTCGGATGATAACCAGGAGAGATATTTTGTAATTGATTTCAGAAATAGATTTAGCGGGGCGTAATTATCTAAAAACCTAATTTTGAAGTCGATCTGAAGATTTTCATTTTTTGCGAAAATTTTGCTTCGTTGCAAATTTCTCGGATTTGGACTTTTGGACTTAATTTTCTTATTCAAGCAAGGAACTCCTTGAAATTTGGTCTACTAACTAATTAGAACCTCTGGAACTAACTCATTCGCAAAAAGGGCCTTTGAAGTCTCCTGATTTTTTAGTACCGAAAAATCGGAGACTCAGTATTTCAATATTTTCGAAATCACAGTGAAACTTGAAGTGGTATCTGCTTTCAGTTCCGTTGTGTTTTATTTTTCAAAACACTTGAAAAAATTCTGGGATCCCTGTTTTCGAAAGAGTTTAAAGAATCATGGGGATCCTGAAAACTAACAAACAAAGAAAGCAAGAAAGAAAGGAAAAAAAAGAGAGGAAGAAAGGAAGGAAGGAAGAAGAAAAAAGTCAACAAGAAAGTTTTTTGAAAACTCGTCTGGTTTTTGTTTTGAAACAGTTTCAAAGATTCTTAAAGACTCCTACTGTCGTTTCTTGAGAATGTGGAAGTCTTAGTGGCTCCTTGTGTCTTATTTTTGAAAGAATCTGAAAAAATTCTAGAATTTGTCTTTTTGAAAAAGTCTGAAACAATCATGGGGTTCCCAAAAACAAAGAAAGAAAAAAAGGAAGAAGAGAAGATGTGAAGAGGGAAATAGAAGAACGAAAGCAGAAAAGAAGGAAAGAGGAAAAAAGAATGATGGAAAGAAATTTGGGTACTTCTGGTGTCTACTTTTAAAAAAATGTGAAATAATCTTGAATTCCCCTTGTGTTTTGCTGTTGAAACAACTTCAAAAATTTTTAAGACTCCTCTTGTTTTGTTTTTGAAAGAGAGAAACAATCCCTTGAAGTTTTAGTTTTAAAAACATCCGAAAAAATCTGGAGATCGCTGTTTTCGTAAGAATTGTCAACAAAAAAAATGCAAGAAAATATCCAAGAAACTCAACTTGTTATACAAGAGAACCTCGATCTTTGTAACTTTACACCAATTTTTACTCCCTCTGAAGACTTTTAAGCATCAAAGTTTTTACTTTCAGAACTACACCACTAAAATACAAAACCCCTTGTTAAAAATTCGATTTATTAACCCCGAACGTGAATAATTCACCCTTATTGTCTGCCACCAACTTTCAAACTAGAACTTGATCGCAATTATTTTAAGTGACTTAACAATGGACCGACGAAAGCAAATTGATTCAAATTAAAACCCACAATCCAATAATGCGTCAGTAATTGGCACTTAATGAAGTTTACTTCGTTACAAAGAATTTACAGGCAAAGGAAAAAAGGCGCAAAATTAGAAACCGACGAGCAAATTTAATTGTTTCGGACGAACAAATGCTAGATATTTTTCAAATGATAAATTTTTATCTTGATAGATTGAATTCCGATTAATCGTGCTATCTCCCAATAGAGGCGATAAGGATCCATCATTTAGTCAAAAGTAGCAGCTAAACCGGAACCATGAAAACCTTCAACCATTGTAAAATAATTGCACTGATTTGTCTTCTGAAATCAGTAAACGTCGTGGAATCAGCGAAGTGCCAGTTTTCGTCACCACGAACCATTAAGTGCGCCGACACTCAAATCAGTGAAGCAATCCCGGAAATAAATCAGATAGCAAGTGATTATTCTCTGGTAAGTGATACAAATAGTACAAAATTTAATTCCAAGTAATGCGTTTTTATTTTATTAGTCTGAGCTGGGTCAACTAACTTTCCAAGGAACCCAGTTCGACAATGACCAGATCCAAAGAGGTTGGTTAAGCAATGTTGCCGTACCAGTAGTACAGTTGAATATAGAAAACTCCACCTTATCAACAATACAATCGCGATCGTTCAGCGGAAGCCCGTTTGGACCTTTGTTAGTTTTAATCCTCACGGACACAAACATTGACACTATTACGAGTGGTACCTTCCAGGACAGCAAACTAACAAACATTGGTATAAGCTTCAACACTTTCCACCCCATTTCTGTGGAAGAAAATGCCTTTGGCTCCCTTCAAACCCTTCGAAGTTTGGGTCTACAAAAATGTGTCACTCATGACGCTGTGTTGAACATGACTGGACCTAATGCGGAAATTCCGTCACTGATTTCACTAACGTTGTCTTCCAACGATATATCGGAGTTGTCTGGGTCTAGCTTCGCAGGAGTGAAAAATCTGAAAGTGTTGTATATTTCGGGGTCAAAAATTAAGAGTATAGAACAAGGGGCTTTTGACCCTCCGATGCTGGAGCGTTTGGATATATCGTCCAACGAGTTGACCACCCTTCCTAAGAATCTGTTTCGGTACGTGAGGGGCGGGATTACTATAGTCAACAACAAGTGGCATTGTGACTGCGATTTAGTTTGGTTGAAGGACATGTTTCACTATTATCCTTACTATTTTAGCCACAGGAGTTTCTTCTGTAGCACTCCGGATGGAGACCTGCCCTACCAAGACGTCGATTTTTGTCCAAACTAAGACGATTTTGTAGTAAATCGTTTGTACACAAAGAAAATAAATTGTTTTTGAAATTAAAATGAATTCTGGCTCGATCCCGTCTACGTAAAAGGGATAAGTTGAAACAACTTTCCTAAAGCGAACTTTGTAAAAATCGATGGTCTTTTAATAGGAATATTTTAACTATAATGTTCCATTTAAATTCAAATTAGATAAAACTTGTTGCTGACGCGACGAGTTGACACTACAAAGAGTACGTGAACCACAAGCCAAACTTTGTTTATTCGTGTGAGAAGTAATTTAGTGCTTTGTTGTGACTGCGAAGGAACAAGAACAGAACGTATTAAATAAATAAATAGTTTAGTTTGAAAGCCACAAATGAAAAATATGAATCACAATATATAATTAATCAATGAGTTTGGTAAAATTAGTTTGAACGACTAGAAGTAAGAACCAGAGAAGATAGAGAAGCGTCGTAGTTTAAATTAAATGACGATTGAGGACTCCTCGACTTATGTTGGCAACAATGTTTGTTTCTAAGTAGGAATAAAATTAACTACAATAGAAAAAATGTCATAATATTTTGTCACAAGAATTACAGTTCGTCGTCTGAGAACTTGCTTGATCTACAGACCAGAGCGCACACAGGCCAATGTCGACTCTAAGCGTTCGGAAACGATTTGATTTATAAGTCATGCTCGGTAATCTGATGCACATCCTAACCTATAATCTCTTGCTATTTCAACTTTCAAATTCTCAGTTTTTCGAAATTTTAGTTTGGGGATTTTTCAGTTTACTGCTATTTATTATTCAATTTTTGGATTTTACAATTTCTCAATATTTCAATTTCTCGGTTTTCAGTTTTTGACTTTTATAAACTCTTTATTTGTCGATTTTTCAATTAATTGATTTTTCAGGCTTTTCGGTTTTTCAATTTTTCTATTTTTTTCAGGTTTCTATTTTTCAACTTAATTTTTTTGATTTTTCTATTTCTCAATTTTTCAATTTTTGAATTTCTCAGTTTTTGGACATTTCAGTTTTGGGAGTTTAGAGTTTTTCGATTCGTCAGTTTTTCTTTCATTTTTCAGTTTTTCAATATTTCAGTTTTGGGATTTTTCAATATGTCTGTTCTTGGACTATTCCATTTTTGACTTCTGGATTTTTCGATTTGTCGACTTTTTATTTTTTCGATTTTTAAATTTTAGATTTCTCAATTTTTTGGTATTTTAATTTTTCAATATTTAAAATTTTAGATTTTTCGATTTCTCGATTTTTCGTTTCAGCTATTTCATATTTCAATTTCTCAAATGTTTCGATTTCTTAATCTTTCGATTTTTCGATTTTCCGGTTTTAGATTTTCTGTTTTTCAATTGTCGTTTTGTCAAATTTTCGATTTTTTAATTTTTCAAATTTGACTTTCATAAACTCTCAATTTTTCGATTTTTCAGTTAATCGATGTTTTGATTTTCACATATCTTGACTTTCGAGGGTTTCGATATTCCTCTTCTTCAATTCTTTAATTTTTCAATTTTTCATTTTTAGTTTTTTTTAAGGTTTTGATTTTTCGACTTCACTTTTTGGATTTTTCGATTGCTCAATTTTTCGACTTTTTAGGTTCTGAGTTTTTGGAGATTTCAGTTATCGTATTATCAGGTTTTCCATTTTTCTGTTTTTTTTTTATTTTTCAGTTTTTCGTTATCTCAGTTTTGAGATTTTTCAATATTTCGACATTTCGATTTTTGACTCCTGGATTTTTTGATGTGTTGATTGTTTTACTTTTTCGATTTTTCAATCTTCCGATTTTTAAATTAGAGATTTTTCGATTTCTCGATTTTCCAGTGCAGTTCTTCCATATTTGAATTTTTCACGTTTTCGAATTTTTCAAATGTTTCGATTTTTTTTCAATTGTGATTTTGTCAAATTTTCGATTTTTTAATTTTTCAAATTTGACTTTAATAAACTCTCACTTTTTCGATTTTTCAATTAGATAATCGATGTTTTGATTTTCCCATTTCATGACCTTCGAGTGTTTCGATTTTCGTGTTTTTCAGTTCTTTAATTTTTTGATTTTTCAGTTTTTCGATTTTTTAAGGTTTCTATTTTTCGACTTCACTTTTTTGATTTTTCGATTTTTCAGTTTTTCGACATTCTAGTTTCTCAGTTTTTGGATATTTCAGTTTTCGGATTTTTCGGGTTTTCTATGTTTCTTTTTTTTTCATTTTTCAGTTTTTCGAAATATCAGTTTTGGGATTTTTCAATATTTCGACTTTTCTATTTTTGACTCCTGGATTTTTCGATGTGTCGATTATTTTACTTTTTTGATTTTCCAATTTTTCGATTATTAAATTTTTAAAATTTTAGATTTTTCGATTTTTCAGTTCAGTTCTTCGATATTTGAATTTTTCAAGTTTTCGAATTTTTCAAATATTTCGATTTCTTAATCTGTCGATGTTTCGACTTCTCAGTTTTAGATTTTCTGTTTTTCAATTGTCGTTTTTTCAAATTTTCGATTTTTCAATTTTTCAAATTTAACTTTCGTAAACTTTCAATTTTTCGATATTTTAGTTAATCGATGTTTTGATTTTCCCATTTCTTGACTTTCCAGGGTTTCGATATTCCTGTTCTTCAATTCTTTAATTTTCGATTTTTCATTTTTAGTTTTTTTAAGATTTCGATTTTTCGACTTCAGTTTTTGAATTTTTCGATTGCTCAATTTTTCGACTTTTTAGGTTCTCAGTTTTTAGATATTTCAGTTTTCGGATTTTTCAGATTTTCCATTTTTCTGTTTTTCTTTCATTTTTCAGTTTTTCGATATCCCAGTTTTGAGATTTTTCAATATTACTATTCTTCGACTTTTCGACTTTTGACTGCTGGATTTTTCGATGTGTCGATTATTATTTTACTTTTCCGATTTTTCAATTTTGCGATTTTTAAATTTTAAAAATTTCTGATTTTTCAATTTTTCGATTTTTCAGCGCAGTTCTTCGATATTTGAATTTTTCAAGTTTTCGAATTTTTCAAATGTTTCGATTTCTTAATGTTTCGATTTTTCGACTACTCAGTTTTAGATTTTCTGTTTTTCAGTTGTCGTTTTGTCAAATTGTCGATTTTTCAAATTTTCAAATTTGACTTTCATAAACTCTCAATTTTTCGATTTTTCGATGTTTTGATTTTCCCATTTCTTGACATTCGAGTGTTTGGATATTCATGTTCTTCAATTCTTTAATTTTTTGATTTTTCATTTTTAGTTTTTTAAGATTTCAATTTTTCGACTTCACTTGTTGGATTTTTCGATTGCTCAATTTTTCGACTTTTCTGGTTCTCAGTTTTTGGTTATTTCAGTTTTCGGATTTTTCAGATTTTCCATTTTTCTGTTTTGTTTTTCATTTTTCAGTTTTTCAATATCTTAGTTTTTCAATATCTCAGTTTTGTGATTTATCAATATTTCGACTTTTCGATTTTTGACTCCTGGATTTTTCGATTTGTGTTGATTATTTTACTTTTTCGATTTTTCAATTTTTCGATTTTTAAATTTTAGATTTTTTCATTTTTAAAATTTTAGATTTTTTGAATTCTCGATTTTTCAGTTCAGTTCTTCGATATTTGAATTTTTCAAGTTTTCGAATTTTTCACATGTTTCGATTTCTTAATCTTTTGATTTTTCGACTTCCCGGTTTTAGATTTTCGGTTTTTCAATTGTCATTTTGTCAAATTTTCAATTTTTTAATTTTTCAAATTTGATTTACATGAACTTTGAATTTTTCGATTTTTCAATTCTTCGATTCTTTAATTTTTTGATTTATCAGGTTGTTGATTTTTCAATTTTTTAAGTTTTCTATTTTTCGACTTCACTTTTTTGATTTTCGATTTTTCAGTTTTTAGATATTTCAGTTTTAGGATTTTTCAACATTTCAATTCTTGGGCTTTTCTATTTTTGACTTTTGGATTTTTCGATGCGTCTACCTTTCAATTTCTCAATTTTTAAATTTTTCAGTTGTTCTCTTCAATTTTACGATTTTTAAACATTTCGATTTTTCAATTTTTGACTTTTATAAGCTATTTATTTGTCGATTTTTCTATTAATTGATTTTTCAGGTTTTTTACTTTTTCAATTTTTCTATTTTTTCGGGTATCGATTTTTCAACTTCACTTTTCTGATTTGTCGATTTCTCAGTTTTTCAATTTTTTAATTTCTCAGTTTTTGGACATTTCAGTTTTTTGATTTTTCAGTTTCCTTGTTATTTTTCGATCTTACGGTTTTTCGATTTTTTTAATGTTTCGACATTTCGACTTCACTTTTTTGATTTTCAGTTCTTCCATATTTCAATTTTCCAAATGTTTCGATTTCTTAATCTATCGATTTTTCGACTTACCGGTTTTAGATTTTCTGTTTTTCAGTTGTCATTTTCTCAAATTTTCGATTTTTTAATTTTTCAAATTTGACTTTCATAAATTATCAATTTTTCGATTTTTCAATTAATCGATGTTTTGATTTTCCCATTCCTTGACCTTCGAGTGTTTCGACATCCCTGTTCTTCAATTCTTGGATTTTTCGATTGCTCAATTTTTCAATGTCTTAGTTTTCAGTTTTCCTATTCAACTTTACGATTTTTAAATATTTCGATTTTTCAATTAATTGATTTTTCAGGTTTTCTGGTTTTTTAATTTTTCTATTTTTTCGGGTATCGATTTTTCAACTTCACTTTTCTGATTTGTCGATTTCTCAGTTTTTCAATTTTTTAATTTCTCAGTTTTTGGACATTTCAGTTTTTTGATTTTTCAGTTTCCTTGTTATTTTTCGATCTTACGGTTTTTCGATTTTTTTAATGTTTCGACATTTCGACTTCACTTTTTTGATTTTTCAATTTCTCAATTTTTCGATTCTTTAGATTCTCAGTTTTTTGATATTTCGATTTTGGGATTTTTCAGTTTTTCGATTCGTCAGTTTTTCTTTCCTTTTTCAGTTTTTCGATATTTCACTTTTGGGATTTTTCAATATTTCTGTTCTTCGACTTTTCAGTTTTTGACTTCTGGATTTTTCGATGTGTCGACTTTTTGCTTTTTCGATTTTTAAATTTTAGATTTCTCAATTTTTTGGTATTTTAATTTTTCAATATTTAAAATTTTAGATTTTTTGATTTTTCGATTTTTCATTTTAGCTCTTCCATATTTCAATTTTCCAACTGTTTCGATTTCTTAATCTTTCGTTTCTTCAAATTTTCGATTTTCCCATTTCTTGACCTTCAATTATTTCGATTTTCTTGTTCTTGAGTTCTTTAATTTTTTGATTTTTCAGGTTTGTGATTTTTTAATTTTTCGATTTTTTAAGGTTTCTATTTTTCGACCTTCCTTTTTTGATTTTTCGATTTTTCAGTTTTTAGATACATATTTCAGTTTTAGGATTTTTCAATATTTCAATTCTTCGTATTTTCTATTTTTGTCTTCTGGATTTTTCGATTTTCAATTTTTGGATTTTAGATTTTTAATTTTTCAATCTTTTGATATTTTAATTTTTCAATATTACTTAATCATTCGATTTTTCGACTTCCTGGTTTTAGATGTTCTGTTTTTCAATTTTTCGATTTGTTAATTTTTCATTCCCGATTTATCGAAATTTGATTGTTCAGGTTTTCGATTTTTATTTTGGCTTATTTCAGTTTTTCAGTTTTTCTTTTCGTTTTTTGATTTTTCCGCTTTTTCAAAAGAACGAGAAATCGAAAAGTCGGAAAATCGAAAAATAGAGGAATCGAAAGTTTTTTCAACTTTTGACTTTTTGTTTGTCGATTCCTCTATTTTTTGATTTTCCGACTTCATCACTTTTCGATTTCTCGTTCTTTTGATCTCGATTTTTCAATTTTTCGAATTTTTAATTTTTTTGATTTCTCGATTTATCGAGATTTGGATTTTTCGTTATTTTGATTGTCAATTTCTCAGTTTATAAATTGTTCAATTTTTAACTTGATTTAACGATTTCTTGATCTTTTGATTTTTCGACTTCCCGGTTTTAGATTTTTTGTTTTGCGATTTTTAAACTTTAGATTTTTTAACTTTTAAAATTTCAGATTTTTCGATTTCTCGATTTTTCAGTTCAGTTCTTCGATATTTGAATTTTTCAAGTTTTCGAATTTTTCAAATGTTTCGATTTCTTAATCTTTTGATTTTTCGACTTCCCGGTTTTAGATTTTCGGTTTTTCAAATTTGACTTTCATGACCTTTGATTTTTCGATTTTTCAATTAATCGATGTTTTCATTTCTTGACCTTCGAGTGTTTCGATTTTCCTATTCTTCAGTTCTTTAATTATTTGATTTTTCAGGTTGTTGATTTTTCAAACTTTCGATATTTTAAGTTTTCTATTTTTCAACTTCACTTTTTTGATTTTCGATTTTTCAGTTTTTAGATATTTTAGTTTTAGGATTTTTCAACATTTCAATTCTTCGGCTTTTCTATTTTTGACTTCTGGATTTTTCGATGTGTCTACCTTTTCCCTTTTTGGATTTTTCAATTTCTCAATTTTTAAATTTTTCAGTTTTTCTCTTCAATTTTACGATTTTGAAACTTTTCGATTTTTCAATTTTTGACTTTTATAAACTATTTATTTGTCGATTTTTCTATTAATTGATTTCTCAGGTTTTTGGTTTTTCAATTTTTCTATTTTTTCGGGTTTCGATTTTTCAACTTCACTTTTCTGATTTGTCGATTTCTCAATTTTTCAATTTTTTAATTTCTCAGTTTTTGGACATTTCGTTTTTTGATTTTTCAGTTTGCTTGTTATTTTTCGATCTTACCGTTTTTCGATTTTTTTAATGTTTCGATATTTCGACTTCATTTTTTGATTTTTCAATTTCTCAATTTTTCGATTCTTTAGATTCTCAGTTTTTTGATATTTCATTTTTGGAATTTTTCAGTTTTTCGATTCGTCAGTTTTTCTTTCCTTTTTCAGTTTTTCGATATTTCACTTTTGGGATTTTCCAATATTTCTGTTCTTCGACTTTTCAATTTTTGACTTCTGGATTTTTCGAAGTGTCGACTTTTTGCTTTTTGGATTTTTAAATTTTAGATTTCTCAATTTTTTGGTATTTTAATTTTTCAATATTTAAAATTTTAGATTTTTTGATTTTTCGATTTTCATTTCAGCTCTTCCATATTTCAGTTTTTCAACTGTTTCGATTTCTTAATCTTTCGGTTTTTCAAATTTTCGATTTTCCCATTTCTTGACCTTCAAGTATTTCGATTTTCCTGTTCTTCAGTTCTTTAATTTTATGATTTTTCAGGTTCGTGATTTTTCAATTTTTCGATTTCTTAATATTTCAATTTTTCGATTTGTTAATTTTTCATTCCTGATTTATCGAGATTTGATTGTTCAGGTTTTCGATTTATCAGTTTTTCAATTTATATTTTGGCCTGTTTCGGTTTTTCAGTTTTTCTTTCCGTTCCGCTTTTCCAATTTTTCAACTTTTAACTTTTTGTTTGTCGATTCCTCTATTTTTCGATTTTCCGACTTCATCACTTTTCGATTTCTCGTTCTTTTGATCTCGATTTTTCAATTTTCGAAATTTTAAGTTTTTTGATTTCTCGATTTATCGAGAATTGGATTTTTCGTTATTTTGATTGTCAATTTCTCAGTTTATAAATTGTTTAATATTTAACTTGATTTAATGATTTCTTGATCTTTTGATTTTTCGATTTCTCGGTTTTTCGATTTTCCAGTTTTTCGATGTTTCGATTTTTCAGTTATCCGATTTTTTAAATTTGGGACTTTCGATTTCTCGATTTTTCGATATTCGGTTTTATAAATTTTAGATTTTTGAATTTTACATTTTTTCGATTTTCAGTTCTTCGATATTTCGATTTTTCAATGTTTCGGTTTTACGATTTTTTAAGGTTTCGATTATTCGATTTCTCGATTTTCGAATTTTCATTATTTTAGTTTTTCATTTTTTTTCTCAGTATATCGAAAACAACCACAAAAATTGGCACTAAAAACATTTAAAAATTCACACAAAATAGAACACAGTGTTTCCAAAACATTTTCTCGAAAAAAATCCATTGGGTTATTAGTGTTATTACTATTTCAACAATATTCTTAGTTTAAGATGTTTTGCTAGTATAAAACACAAATAAAAATAAATAAAAATTCTTAGTTAAACAAAATATGTAAAATCATCTAAATATGTACCAAAAATATTCACTTAGGCGTTATAAAAAACGACCAAACAACTAATTCCCGCGGAAATTACAGTCCAAACCAACCAAATCGGTTCTGAACGTTTAGAGTCGACATTGGCCTGAGCGCGCTCTGGTCTGTAGATCAAACAAGTTCTCAGGCATCGACTATTTAAATTTGGCGCTTGTCTCCAATATCAATGTCGCATCTACATTAATCTATGTACGAACTCTCAAACATACACTTTTGTAATCATTCGACTATAAACTGAACGTGGGTTCAGCTTTAGCTTGCCAAACCAAACAGGAAATGTAATTTCGTGCGACCGTCCACTCCGCCAATTTAAATTCGTATTTTGTTCCATAGTAGAGTTTACGAAATTTAATTAAGTGGTAGATTATGAACGATATGTAAATAGAACTGGACAATCCAAAGTAATTACTTCATTCACACCCATTATCCTCGCGCACACTCTTTTTTTAACTATTGATTACACTTTGTTTATGTTGTAATTAATCATTCAAGATTAGTTACTTCGCCAAGCCACCACAAAAAGTCTTCGACGAATTCATTAAAACCAAATAACTCCGAGACATCAAAACCGACTCCGCATTTAACTGGTCCATCTCTAGCGTCACCAACTAGGTTCACCACGAAATTAACACTGGCACCGTTTCAGCATTATTTTAAACACAAAATTTTTCACACACCAGCGTGCACCAGTGTTGTGATAATGTCGGACTCGTGAAGGCCTAAACATGAAGATCGTTTATCAAAACGTGATATGGCTGCTTTCCTTCGCCGCTTACACTTACATGTCTTTAGCCGAAGACGAGAAGCCTGCCGTCGACATCGGTGAGTAAAACTTAGCTTGTTATTTATGGGTGACGTTTCCGTCGCAGTTGCATTCTTCCACGAAGAGGACAACCAGGCTAAACTGGCTTTCGAGACCGCTGTTTCCAATTTCGACATCATGGATAGCCCTGTTGAGTACGTTCCGCGGATCGAGGTCACTTCGGAGTCCGACAGTTTGGAGCATTACAACACCTGTGAGTACTTGAGTTACAAGAAAAAGAGAAACTGGGCTATTTTTAGTCTTCCTTGGTTTTAGTTTGCAATCTGGTTAAAGCGGGAAAAGTGGGCAGCATCATCTCGCCTACTTCGCCTAAAGTAGCCCCTATAATAGAGTCGCTTTGCGTGAATTTGGAAATACCTGTGTTACAAGTTCACTGGCGTGCGTCCCCTTTGATGAATAACAGCATGACTATTAATTTTTACCCAGACCAGAAGCTGCTTTCGCAAGGAATTGGGGTTGTTGTTAGAAATTTGCAGTGGAGAAGCGTCGTGATTTTCTACGAAGGCACAGAAAATTTGATCCGGATTCAAGAGATTTTAAAAATCCAAAACTATGACGCTAGTAGCAAAAGCAACTCTGTTATTCTGAAACAACTTGGACCCGGTCCTGATTACAGGCAAGCAACTGTGTGAGTTGTTTCTTCGAATTTGACGTGGAATTTTCAGGTCTGCGTTAAAGCAAATCCAAAATAAGACGGAATATAGGATTGTTTTGGATTGTAAAACTGAAAATGTTCTCAATATTTTGCACCAAGCGAAAGAACTGAATCTCCTGGACAAAAAATATAGCTACTTTATAACCACTCTGGTACGGTTTGTACTCTAGAAATTTTTGTTAATCATTAAATAAATTCTTTGTCAGGATGCCCACACTCTGAATTTCTCTGTACTAAACACAGAGGCCAACATAACAACTGTACGAATCATAAATCCGGAAAATAGCGTTTTCCAGAATATCGTAACTAGGTGGAAAATGCGTGCCAATGTGGATTTAGACGCGTATTCAGTCAAGGTGTGAAACCAAATCCAAATTAGACACCCTTTCAAAACCGTGTTTTTAGACCGAGACTGCTCTAATGTACGACGCCGTAAGTACCTTCATGAACTCCTTCCGAAACAACTACGTTACAACACCCATCGAAACCGAGGTCTTAAATTGTAACGAAAACATCAAGCAATGGAAACACGGTCTCCAGCTTGCCACCTTCATGAAAGCGGTACTAATCTCTCCGAAGGAGGCGGCCCAAATCGTCCAAGGGCAGAATTTGTAGGTAGGCTCAAACTACAACGAAATTTACGTGTTGACCAAATTCTTACTCTGAATTAGTTTTAATTTTATAAAAACCCTATCTAAAATGTTCAGAATATGATGAGTCTATACTTGTGATTTACCATTCCATTTATATTTTTTGGATTTGTTTATACATACAGGGTGACTCAAAAAAAAATAATGACTGAGTCAATTTATTTTATTGAAGAAATCAGGAATTGCAAAACTGAATACTTGAAATCTTGTCAATTAGTTGGAACCTGAGCCCAATTTTTTTTGCAATATCTGTGATCAGAGCTGTTCAGTACTTCAAGTAAAAGTACTTGAAGTAATACTTCAAGTACATTAAGTACTTCAAGTACTTTACTTGAAGTACTTTTATATTTAGGTACTTGGTACTTGGTACTTGAAGTATTTCTAAAATGTACTTGAGTTTAGTACTTGATTTTGCCAAGTACTTTACTCCAAGTACTTCACTCAGTATTTTAAATACTCTTGAATTACTTGAAGTATGAAAGTGGAAATTTCAAATACTTTAGTCTCTATTTTACGAAATTTTCACATCTCAAAATAGGGTCTGTTAAATACTTGAAGTTATTAATTCAATTATTTGATTAGATGTATTTTTATAGTAAAATCGTGTTTGTTTCCTGTGAGGTTATATTTTGATCTGTGATTGTGGATATCTTATCCACAATATGACGTACATTTCATAGGTACTTGCATAATGCCGATAGATAGGTAGGTAAGAAAATTAATGTCATAAATATGTCATTTGAGAGTGGATGACGACAGCAGAAGGGTCGGAGATCTGTGTAAAATTTTCAGCGATGTAATATTGTGAATATATGAATTTTGTCTTTTTTGTATTCTGGTCTGGAACTTAACTTTGCGGGTAGTTTTTCAGTACCTTCCCGGTACCCCAAAGGGAATCGGGTTTGTTGACGTACCTGCTAAAGTGCAAGGTCGGATTTGAAAATATTTGAGAAATGATTCAGTACTCGTTCAAAAAGATATTTATTCTTTCATTAGTTTATTAACCCCGCCGTGTATTTGTCAGTAAGAAGCCTGGTCAGGGCGGAGAACTCGGCAGGGGATTATCCCTTTTATTATAATAGCAATAGCTGATGGCAGGTACAGACTTTCATATTCGCCTCTTCCTCGTAGAATTTAAACACAATTTTATGTTAAATATTTTGCAATTTAATTTTCTTTATCATGTTAGACACTCGTTTTGTACCAAATTTTCTTTCTTTGTTTATACATGGTTCAGCCATATAAACTTAGTTTGTTATTACTACTTATATTTTCTCACATTACAGTTTCAAATAATCTGTTAAATTGTATGAATTATTTGAACACCAACAATTTAAAAAGACGTAATGCAGAAAAACAATGATTTTAAAAGTCACACTAATTAGTGTCATTTATCTTTCCTGTGCGGATTTTATTTATAACCGTACAACAACTTTACTTATTAGTCTTATTACATTGCATCGCTTATTACATATTGTTCAAAATGAAATATGTTTGGTGCAACTCGGCTCCTAGTACCAATGATTTTTGTAATCGAGTTGATACGACCATGATTGTATGGTTTTGATGAGTACCGAATTGTACTTTAATATTGCTCGAAGGACCTTTGTTTTGTTGTGTGCGAAATAATAGACAGCGTTCGGTTTCCATGTTTCAATACAGGACGGTTACAGAAGTACTGAATTTACATTTGTATTTACAATATCAGGTAAAGATACCCAAAAGGGTTAGTGGCCGCTTCCGTAAATGGAACAAAATACATATTCACATTATAAAAAAATACAAAGTTAATGAAATTCGCGATTAGTTAGTATAATTGCCTAGATAAATACACCCCTACGAAATATTTTAACAATAATAAATTTAGTACATATTTACCTGAATTTTCGCAAAACCCGTTGTTAGGCATTCCCTGAAGTCATTGTAGTTATCAGTTACTAATGTCATCTTCTTTGGGTTTTCAGGTAAAAATAAAAAAATAAGCCAATCGAAAATGTAAAGGAAAATTCTGAAAGTATTGTGGCATTAGAGGAACAAAATTTTGTATAAATGGACGGAACAGCATAACGAACCTATTATTTGTGATTTGTCAGTGTAAAGTTACATACTTAGTTAGACAAACATCGCAGTGATTAGTGTTTACTGTTTAGTCACTGTAGTATTTAGGTTAATTTAATAATTTTTAGAATAGTAAATACGTAAGTGGTAGACAGATATGGGGCATTCATTCCAAGAAAATTCTCAGCATTTTTGGTAACCGCAAAAGTAAAACACGACTAATTACTTTGATCACCTTGATATTTTTCAAGAGTTATAGTTTTCGCTGAAAATGGACTCTCGTTTTAGGCATTTTATTTTTTATTTAAAAAATGCATACGTTTTTTTTGAAAATGCAACATAGTGACTTAAACATTTTTATGTTACGAGCATGTATATGTTATCGCACTGCTCTTAAAATTTTTTTCTGAAAAATTTCAGTTTCACAAATCCGGCCCTGTGCACTTTCACAATAGGTAATGATTAAAAATAAGGGTGCTGTAAACTACCCACAAACTTAAACACGGAACCGGTTCCTAAAATTCATATATTTTTAACACAACTTTATTAAAAAATCAGAACGTTTTGGTGGTGAACCAAAATTCAAAATATTAAAAAAAGGCAACAGAAGCCTGAGAAAATACCATACAGCGCCGATGTTTTTGTTATAAATTAATAATAAGCATACATAGACAACGCCGTCATGTATTTTATTTTAAATTTTAAATTAGAAATATACGTTAATTTTGTCGAAGGCATTGTGTCCACAGAAAGATGTAAAAGTATTTCAAAAGAATATTGTTTATAAATAACATAGTATTATTAATAAGTAAGCTACCATTCTGCGTTTAAGTTGATGCTTATGCAATTTTTTATGTGGCGAAATGTATTATTGTATACTTAAATTCTGAGTATTAAAAAATTCACTTCTAAAATATATTAAGCTTTTTTAAAAAAACAGGAAAAGTTATCTAATTCTACAGTATTTCAAATAATTAGAAAGTACTTGAAGCATTTTCAGTACTTCAAGTATTTGTAAGTACTTGAAGTATACCTTCAGTACTTCAAGTACTCGTAAGTACTTGAAGTAATGTACTTGGCTTGTACTTCAAGTACATCTGAAAAGTACTTGATACTTGAAATACTCTTGCTGAAAGTAAGTGCTTGGTACTTTACTTGAACACTATTTCAAGTAGTACTTTGTACTTGGTACTTCAAGTACTTTTTTTGAGTACTTTGAACAGCTCTGTCTGTGATGTACTATTAGTTTCCGTAAGTTATAAAATTACAAAAAAAAACCTATTCTGCTCTAATAAAATCGAGAATATGCTCAAAATCACACTAATATTAGGTCTAATTGTGCCAACCATAGTTATAAAATTCATATTAAAATAAGTCACGGACATTTTTTGAAGTGTACTACATTTAATTTTTCGTTTTTTTGATTTTTCGATGTTTCGATTTTTTGATTTGCCATTCTTTCAATTTTCGATTTTTCGTCTTTCCACTTTTAGATTTCTGGATTTTTTTGTTCGTCAGTTTTTAGATTTTGCAATTTTTTGCATTTTTCGATTATATTTTACTTTCCGATTTTTTTGATTTTTGAATTCTCGATTTTACGTTTTTAATTCTGTTATTCTCGAGTTTTCGATTTTCCATTAATCATTAAATTTTTCGATTTTTCGGTTGTTTTATTTCTCGACCTTCGATTTTTCAACTTTCGATTATTCGATTTTCTATTTTCTGATTTTACGATTTTTCGATTTTCGTTTTTCCGCTTTTGTTTTATTTTTCCATTTTTCGATTATTTTACTTTCCGATAGTTTGATTTTTGAATTTTCGGTTTTTCCATTTTTCGATTTGGGATTTTTCAATTTTTCGGTTTTTTAATTTTTCGTATTTTGATTTTCGATTTTTCAGATTTGTGGATTTGTGTCCGTTTTTTCGATTTTTAGAATATTGATTAATCGAATTTTCGATTTTTGAGCATTTCGATTTTTCGATTATCATTTTTACGATTTTTCAAAATCTCGATATTCGAGTTTTCGATTTTCCATTTTTCAAATTTTCAATTTTTAATTTTGCTTTTTTCGATTGTTGTTTTTAGAATTTTCCCTTCTTCAGCTTTTAGATTTCAATTTTGTTACTTTCCGATTTTCTACTTTTCGATTTTTTTATTTTTTTTCGATCGTCGTTCTTTCGATTTTCATTTTCCCGATTTTTTGATTTTTCAAATTTTAGGCCTTGCAGTTTTTTTACTTTTCGTTTTTTCGAGTATTTGTTTCATCGAATTTTCGATTTTTCGATTTTCAATTTTTCGGTTTTTCCATTTTCCGATTTTCGATTTTTCGATTTTCCATTTTTAGATATTTTTCGATTTTTTTTATTTTTCGATTTTTCTGTTCGTCAATTTTGAGACTTTGCAATTTTTACTTTTCGACTTTTCTATTATTTTAGTTTCGGATTATTCGATTTTTGAATTTTCGTTTTTTTTTTTCATTTTTCGATTTCCGATTTTTTAATTTTTCGATTTTTCGGTTTTTTATTTTGTCGATTCTCGATATTCCGATTTTCGATTTTTCGATTTTCCAATCTTCGATTTTTCAATTTCCAGTTTTCGAATTTCCACTTTTTGATTTTACGATTTTTCGATTTTTCTGTTCGTCAATTTTGAGACTTTGCAATTTTTACTTTTCCACTTTTCTATTATTTTAGTTTCGGATTATTCGATTTTTGAATTTTCGTTTTTTTTTTCATTTTTCGATTTCCGATTTTTTAATTTTTCGATTTTTCGGTTTTTTATTTTGTCGATTCTCGATATTCCGATTTTCGATTTTTCGATTTTCCAATCTTCGATTTTTCAGTTTCCAGTTTTCGAATTTCCACTTTTTGATTTTACGATTTTTCGATTTTTCTGTTCGTCAGTTTTTAGGCTTTGCAATTTGTTTACTTTTCGATTTTTTGATTATTTTACTTTCCAATTTTTTGTTTTTAGAATTGTCGAGTTTTAGAGTTTTCAATATTATGAATTTTTGAATTTTCGGTTTTCCTATTTTTCGATTTTTGATTTTTCCATTTTTCGGTTTTTTGATTTTTCAATTCTCGGTTTTTCAATCTTGCAAATTTTCGATTTTTCACATTTGTGAATTTCCAGTTTTTCGATCGACCTACGTATTAGATTCATTGAATTTTCGATTTTCGGTTTTTCCATTTTTAAATTTTTGATTTTCCAGTTTTGTATTTTCAGATTTTCTGTTTTTCGCATATCTGATTTATCAAATTTTCGATTTTTCGGCTTTTCGATTTTTAGATATTTGATTTTCGAATTTTCGATTGTTCAGTTTTCCATTTTTCAGCTTTTAGACTTCAATTTTTTTACTTTTCGACTTTCCAAATTTTCGAGTTTCAATTTTCAGATTTTTGATTTTTCGATTTTCTTTTTAAATCTTCGAATTTTTCGGTTTTGATTTTTCGAATTTTTGATTTTTAATTTTTCCATTCTTCGGTTTTTAGACTTCAATTTTCTTTCTTTTAAATTTTTCGATATTCTACTTTCCGCTTTTCAGAATTTTCGATTTTCAGTTTTCAGACTTTCGATCAGTAGAATTTTGGATTTTTCAGTTTTATGATTTTTCGATTTTTAGAAAATTTGAATAGTCGAATTTTCGATTTTTCAATTCATCGATTTTTCTATCTTCAATTGTTCAATTTAAATTTTGCGATTTTCAATTTGTCCATTGTCGATTTTTAGAATTTTCGGTTTTTCAGTTTTTCTATTCTCAACTGTTAGACTTCAATTTTGTTACTTTCCGATTTTTTGGTTTTCGATTTTCCAATTTTCAGAATTTCCAAGTATCTTTATTCAGATTTTCGATTTTCCACTTTTTCGATTCTAGATTTTTCACATTTTTGTTTTTCCAAATTTTTGCTTTTTAGGTTTTCTGTTCGTTTCAGTTTTTAGGCTTTGCAATTTTTTTAATTTTCAATACAACAAATTTTTGACTTTTCGATTTTTTGGTTTTCCCGTTTTTCAATTTTCGATTTTTCGATTTTTGTGGTTTGTGAATTTCCACTTTTCGATCGACCTAGGTATTTGATTCATTGAATTTTCGATTTTTTGGTTAGCCATTTTTAGATTTTCGATTTTCTGTTTTTTGCATTAATGAATATCAGTTTTTCCGATTTTTGATTTTGCGCATATTTGATTAATCAAATTTTCGAAAAAGTTACCATGCTTACAAAAACTTCAAAACATCTACAATATTTCAAAGTATTCAGTTTTGCTATTCTTGATTTCTTCAATAAAATAAATTGACTCAGTCATTAACTTTTTTGAGATACCCTGTATAATCAAATCTAAAAAATATTAATGCAGTGATAAATCACAAGTATAAAAACTCATCATATTTTATACATTTAAGATAGGATTTATTCTACAAAATTTTGAGGTGACGTCATAAATTTTTTAGAGGGGATAAGCAAATATATTTTAATTAAATCATGTTTATCATGACTTTAAAACATCTGCAAGATTTCAAATTATTCGATTATTCATTATTTTATGGGAACAACTACCTGCTAAATCTTCTCCGACAAATTCGAGAGAACTGGTGTGAGCCATAAATATTTCTTACCAAATGTAAATTTCGTTGTAGTTTGAGCCTACCTACAAATTCTGCCCTTGAAGGATTTGGACCACCTTCTTCGGTGAGGGCAGGCAAAAACGATCCGCCCATAGGCTCAAAACATTTGCGTGCGATTGTACCACCACTTTTATTTTTAGTACGACTCCCGAAACATGCTCAGTATGACGGCCCCCATTGAGTTCAACTCATATGGAAAAAGGACGAACTTTACCCTTCATGTTATCGAGGGTAATCGTGAGAAAGTGACGGCTGTGTGGCATCCGAGTAACGGGGACTATCTGCATTTCTTGCAGAGCGCGGAAGACAGAAATAAGGAGATGGAAGAGAGGTGGAGCAACGGGACGGTGGTGGTTGCTTCTATGTATTTTGGTTGTTTGAGTGTTGGCTTTTTTTAAGTCGTGCTTGTAGTCTAGGTCCGCCGTACTTGATGCTGGCACCGAAACACGAAATTTTGCAAGGGAATGCTAGGTACCAAGGGTTTTCGATGGATCTTATTGCGGAGCTTGCCAGGAGACTGAAGATTAAGTTTGAGTTTGAAGTACTAGCGAGTGGGGCGCGTGGGGTGTACAACAAGGAGACAAAATCGTGGAATGGTTTGATTCTCGAAGTTCTGGAACGCGTAAGTTAATGGATGAATGGGTGTAGATGTTTTTATCAGAGAACATAGAGAAGCGTCATAGTATAAATTAAATGACGGTTGAGGACTTGTTTGATCTACAGACCAGAGCGCGCTCAGGCGAATGTCGACTCTAAGCGTTCGGAAACATATCCTTACCTGTTTCGACCATAATTTCTTGCTATTTCTACTTTCGAATTCTCAGTTTTTCGAAATTTTAGTTTGAGGACTTTTCAGTTTACTCCTATTTATTATTCAATTTTTTGATTTTACATTATCCCAATTTTTCAGATTTTCTCTTCAATTTTACGATTTTTAAATATTTCGATTTTTCAGTTTTTGACTTTTATAAACTCTTTATTTGTCGATTTTTCAATTAATTGATTTTCAGGTTTCGATTTTTCAACTTCAATTTTTTGATTTTTTGATTTCTCAATTTTTCAATTTTTTAATTTCTCAGTTTTTGGACATTTCAGTTTTGGGATTTTTCAGTTCACTTGTTATTCAGTTTTTCGATCTTACGGTTTTGCAGGTTTTTGCTTTTTCAATTTTTCGATTTTTTAAGGTTTCGATATTCCGACTTCGTTTTTGATTTTTTAATTTCTCAATTTTTGGATTCTTTAGATTCTCAGTTTTCTGATATTTCAGTTTTTCGATTCGTCAGTTTTTCTTTCCTTTTTTAGTTTTTCGGTATTTCAGTTTTGGGATTTTTCAATATTTCTGTTCTTCGACTTTTCCATTTTTGCCTTCTGGATTTTTCGATGTGTCGAATTTTTACTGTTTCGATTTTTAAATTTTAGATTTCTCAATTTTTTGGTATTTTAATTTTTTAATATTTAAAATTTTAGATTTTTCAATTTCCCGATTTTGTAAGGTTTCTATTTTTCGACTTCGCTTTTTTGATTTTCGATTTTTCAGTTTTTAGATATTTCAGTTTTAGGATTTTTCAATATTTCAATTCTTCGGCTTTTCTATTTTTGACTTCAGGATTTTTCGATATGTCTACCTTTTTACTTTTTCTATTTTTCAAGTTTTGGATTTTTTATATTTTTAAAAATCTTTCGATATTTTAATTTTTCAATTTTTCTTAATCTATCGATTTTTGGACTTCCCGGTTTTCGATTTACTGTTTTTCAATTGTTGTTTTTTAAATTTTCGATTTTTCAATTAATCGATGTTTTGATTTTCCCATTTCTTGACTTTTGAAGGTTTCGATATTCCTGTTCCTCAATTCTTTAATTTCTCGATTTTTCATTTTTTGGTTTTTTTAAGGTTTCGATTTTTCGACTTGACTTTTTGGAGTTTTCGATTGCTCGATTTTTCGACTTTTTAGGTTCTCAGTTGTTAGATATTTTCCGCTATTCCAGTTTTTCAACTTTTAACTTTTTGTTTATCGATTTTTCTATTTTTCGATTTTTCGACTTCTTCACTTTTCGATTTCTCGTTCTTTTGATCTTTCAATCACCCAATTTTTCAATTTTTCGAATTTTTAAGTTTTTTGATTTCTCGATTGATCGACATTTGGATTTTTCGATATTTTGATTGTCAATTTCTCAATTTATAAATTGTTCAATTTTTAAATTTTCGATTTTGGCCTATTTCGGGTTCTGAGTTGTTCGACTTTTCGACTACACGATTTCTTGATCTTTTGATTTTTCGATTTCTCGGCTTTTCGATTTTCCAGTTTTTCGATGCTTCGATTTTTCAGTTATCCGATTTTTTAAATTTGGGAGTTTCGATTTCTTGATTTTTCGTTATTCAATTTTCAAATTTTCGATTTTTCAATTTTTCAAATTTGACTTTCATAAACTTACAATTTTTAGATTTTTCAATTAATCGATGTTTTGATTTTCCCATTTCTTGACTTTCGAGGGTTTCGATATTCCTGCTCTTCAATTCTTTAATTTTTCGATTTTTCATTTTTAGTTTTCTTAAGGTTTCGATTTTTCGACTTCACTTTTTGGATTTTTCGATTGCTCAATTTTTCGACTTTTTAGGTTCTCAGTTTTTAGATATTTCAGTTTTCGGAATGTTCAGGTTTTCCATTTTTCTGTTTTTTTTTTCATTTTCAGTTTTTCGATAGCTCAGTTTTGGGATTTTTGAATAGTTCGACTTTTCGATTTTTGACTCCTGGATTTTTCGATGTGTTGATTATTCTACTTTTTCGATTTTTCAATTTTCGATTTTTAAATTTTAGATTTTTTAATTTTTAAAATTTTAGATTTTTCGATTTCTGGATTTTTCAGTTCAGTTCTTCGATATTTGAATTTTTCACGTTTTTGAATTTTTCAAATGTTTAGATTTCTTAATCTTTTGATTTTTCGACTTCCCGGTTTTAGATTTTCTGTTTTCCAATTGTCGTTTTTTCAAATTTTCGATTTTTCAATTTTTCAAATTTGACTTTCATAAACTCTCAATTTTTCGACTTTTCAATTATTCAATGTTTTGATTTTCCCATTTCTTGACTTTCGAGGGTTTCGATATTCCTGTTCTTCAATTCTTTAATTTTTCGATTTTTCATTTTTTAGTTTTTTTAAGGTTTCCATTTTTCGACTTCATTTTTTGGATTTTTCGGTTGCTCAATTTTTCGACTTTTTAGGTTCTCAGTTTTTAGATATTTCAGTTTTCGGATTTTTCAGTTTTTCTTTCATTTTTCAGTTTTTCAATATCTCAGTTTTGACGATATTTCAAAATATTTCGATTCTTCGACTTTTCTATTTTTGACTCCTCGATATTCGATGTGTCGATTATTTTACTTTTTCGATTTTTTAAAGTTTTTCGATTTTTAAATTTTAGATTTTTTAGGAGTAATTTTTAAAAATTTTAGATTTTTCGATTTCTCGATTTTTCAGTTCAGTTCTTCAATATTTGAATTTTTCACGTTTTTGAATTTTTCAAATGTTTCGATTTCTTAATCTTTTCATTTTTCGACTTCCCGGTTTTAGATTTTCGGTTTTTCAATTGTGATTTTGTCAAATTTTCGATTTTTTAATTTTTCAAATTTGACTTTAATAAACTCTCAATTTTTCGATTTTTCAATTATTCGATGTTTTGATTTTCCCATTTCTTGACTTTCGAGGGTTTCGTTATTCCTGTTCTTCAATTCTTTAGTTTTTCGATTTTTCATTTTTTAGTTTTTTTAAGGTTTCGATTTTTCGACTTCACTTTTTGGATTTTTCGATTGCTCAATTTTTCGACTTTTTAGGTTCTCAGTTTTCAGGTATTTCAGTTTTCGGATTTTTCAGGTTTTCCATCTTTCAGTTTTTCTTTCATTTTTCAGTTTTTCGATATCTCAGTTTTGAGATTTTTCAATTTTTCGATTTTTGACTCCTGGATTTTCCGATGTGTCGATTATTTTACTTTTTCGATTTTTCAATTTTTCGATTTTTAAATTTTAGATATTTTAATTTTTTAAATTTTAGATTTTTCGATTTCTCGATTTTTCAGTTCAGTTCTTCGATATTTGAATTTTTCACGTTTTTGAATTTTTCAAATGTTTCGATTTCTTAATCTTTTGATTTTTCGACTACCCCGTTTTAGATTTTCGGTTTTTCAATTGTGATTTTGTCAAATTTTCGATTTTTTAATTTTTCAAATTTGACTTTAATAAACTCTCAATTTTTCGATTTTTCAATTATTCGATGTTTTGATTTTCCCATTTCTTGACTTTCGAGGGTTTCGTTATTCCTGTTCTTCAATTCTTTAGTTTTTCGATTTTTCATTTTTTAGTTTTTTTAAGGTTTCGATTTTTCGACTTCACTTTTTGGATTTTTCGATTGCTCAATTTTTCGACTTTTTAGGTTCTCAGTTTTCAGGTATTTCAGTTTTCGGATTTTTCAGGTTTTCCATCTTTCAGTTTTTCTTTCATTTTTCAGTTTTTCGATATCTCAGTTTTGAGATTTTTCAATTTTTCGATTTTTGACTCCTGGATTTTCCGATGTGTCGATTATTTTACTTTTTCGATTTTTCAATTTTTCGATTTTTAAATTTTAGATATTTTAATTTTTTAAATTTTAGATTTTTCGATTTCTCGATTTTTCAGTTCAGTTCTTCGATATTTGAATTTTTCACGTTTTTGAATTTTTCAAATGTTTCGATTTCTTAATCTTTTGATTTTTCGACTACCCCGTTTTAGATTTTCGGTTTTTCAATTGTGATTTTGTCAAATTTTCGATTTTTTAATTTTTCAAATTTGACTTTAATAAACTCTCAATTTTTCGATTTTTCAATTATTCGATGTTTTGGTTTTCCCATTTCTTGACTTTCGAGGGTTTCGTTATTCCTGTTCTTCAATTCTTTAGTTTTTCGATTTTTCATTTTTTAGTTTTTTTAAGGTTTCGATTTTTCGACTTCACTTTTTGGATTTTTCGATTGCTCAATTTTTCGACTTTTTAGGTTCTCAGTTTTCAGGTATTTCAGTTTTCGGATTTTTCAGGTTTTCCATCTTTCAGTTTTTCTTTCATTTTTCAGTTTTTCGATATCTCAGTTTTGAGATTTTTCAATTTTTCGATTTTTGACTCCTGGATTTTCCGATGTGTCGATTATTTTACTTTTTCGATTTTTCAATTTTTCGATTTTTAAATTTTAGATATTTTAATTTTTTAAATTTTAGATTTTTCGATTTCTCGATTTTTCAGTTCAGTTCTTCGATATTTGAATTTTTCACGTTTTTGAATTTTTCAAATGTTTCGATTTCTTAATCTTTTGATTTTTCGACTACCCCGTTTTAGATTTTCGGTTTTTCAATTGTTATTTTGTCAAATTTTCAATTTTTTAATTTTTCAAATTTGACTTTCATGAACTTTGAATTTTTGGATTTTTCAATTAATCGATGTTTTGATTTTTCCATTTCTTGACCTTCGAGTGTTTCGATTTTCCTATTCTTTAGTTCTTTAAGTTTTTGATTTTTCAGGTTGTTGATTTTTCAATTTTTCGATTTTTTAAATTTTCTATTTTTCAACTTCACTTTTTTGATTTTCGATTTTTCAGTTTTTAGATATTTCAGTTTTAGGATTTTTCAACATTTCAATTCTCCGGCTTTTCTAATTTTGACTTCTGGATTTTTCGCTGTCTCCTTTTTCCATTTTTGGATTTTTCAATTTCTCAATTTTTAAATTTTTCAGTTTTTCTCTTAAATTTTATGATTTTTAAACATTTCGATTTTTCAATTTTTGACTTTTACATTTATTTGTCGATTTTCTATTAATTGATTTTTCAGGTTTTTTGGTTTTTCAATTTTTCAATTTTTTTGGGTTTCGATTTTTGAACTTCACTTTTTTGATTTGTGGATTTCTCAATTTTTCAAGTTTTTAATTTCTCAGTTTTTGGACATTTCAGTTTTTTGATTTTTCAGTTTCTCAATTTTTCGATTCGTTAGATTCTCAATTTTTTGATATTTCAGTTTTGGGATTTTTCAGTTTTTCGATTCGTCAGTTTTTCTTTCCTTTTTCAGTTTTTCGATATTTCACTTTTGGGATTTTTCAATATTTCTGTTCTTCGACTTTTCGATTTTTGACTTCTGGATTTTTCGATGTGCCGACTTTTTGCTTTTTCGATTTTTAAATTTTAGATTTCTCAATTTTTTGGTATTTTAATTTTTCAATATTTAAAATTTTAGATTTGTTGATTTTTAGATTTTTCATTTCAGCTCTTCCATATTTCAATTTTTCAACTGTTTCGATTTCTCAATCTTCCGTTTTTTCAAATTTTCGATTTTCCCATTTCTTGACCTTCAAGTATTTCGATTTTCCTGTTCTTTAGTTTTTTAATTTTTTGATTTTTCAGGTTTTTGATTTTTCGATTTTCAGTTTTTACATATTTCAGTTTTAATATTTTTCATATCTCAATTCTTCGTCTTTTCTATTTTTGACTTCTGGATTTTTCGATTTTCAATTTTTGGATTTTTAGATTTTAATTTTTTCAATCTTTTGATATTTTAATTTTTCAATATTTCTTAATCTTTCGATTTTTCGACTTCCTGGTTTTAGATGTTCTGCTTTTCAATTTTTCGATTTGTTAATTTTTCATTCCCGATTTATCGAGATTTGATTGTTCAGGTTTTCGATTTATCAGTTTTTCATTTTTTTATTTTGGGATATTTCGGATTTTCAGTTTTTCCAGTTTTCCATTTTTTCGTTTTTTGATTTTTCCGCTATTCCAATTTTTCAACTTTTAACTTTTTGTTTGCCAATTTCTCTATTTTTCGATTTTTCGACTTCATCACTTTTCGATTTCTCGTTCTTTTAATCTTTCAATCTCTCAATTTTGCAATTTTTCGAATTTATAAGTTTTTTGATTTCTCGATTTATCGAGATTTGCATTTTTCGATATTTTGATTGTCAATTTCTCAATTTATAAATTGTTCAATATTTAACTTTTCGATTTTGGCCTATTTCGGTTTCTCAATTGTTCGACTTTTCGACTCCACGATTTCTTGATCTTTTGATTTTTCGATTTCTCGCCTTTTCGATTTTCCAGTTTTTCGATGTTTCGATTTTTCAGTTATCCGATTTTTTAAATTTGGGAGTTTCGATTTCTTGATTTTTCGTTATTCGGTTTTTAAATGTTAGATTTTTTCGATTTTCTGATGTTTCATTTTTCGATTTTTCGAATTTTTGATTATTTTAATTTTTCATTTTTTTTCTCACTGTTAATATCATACAATGTATCGAAAACAACCACAAAAATTGTCACTAAAAACATTAAAAAATTCATATAAAATAGAACACAGTATTTCCAAAACATTTTCCCAAAAAAAATCCATTGGGTTACTACGATTTCAATAATATTCTTAGTTTAAGACGTTTTGCTAGTATAAAACACAAATAAAGAATTAATTCTTAGTTAAACAAAATATGTAAAATCATCTATTTAGATGATTTATATTTATGTACCAAAAATATTCACTTAGTCGTTATAAAAACCGACCAAACAACTATTTCCCGCAGAAATTATAGTCCAAACCAACCAAATCGCTTCTGAACGCTTAGAGTCGACATTGGCTTGAGCGCGCTCTGGTCTATAGATCAAACAAGTTCTCAGGCGACCAGTTGTAATGAAACAAGTTTTTTATTTTAAAGAAAAAATTTTTAAAGTAAAACTTTTCCAGCGCGCTGAATTAGCCATCTGCGATTTAACTATAACTCCTGAGCGTAGAGAAGTGGTCGATTTCAGCGCCCCCTTCATGCGTCTAGGTAAGCAAAGTAATCCTCAAAAAACTACAACGACTCATACAAATTTAACAGGTATTAGTATTTTATACAAGAAAGCCGAACCCAAAGAGGCAAATATGTATGCTTTCCTCGATCCATTATCTATAGATTTGTGGATCTACTCGGCCACACTTTACTTAGCGATAACAGTGGTACTGTTTTTCATCTCAAGGTACTATCGCCACCCTATCACCCAAACAAACTTTCTCCTTTCTTCTTCGCAGAGTCTCTCCAGCAGACTGGGAAAATCCTCACCCTTGCGATCAAGAACCCGAGGAACTCGAAAACATATGGAACATGAAAAATTGTCTTTGGTTAACTTTAGGTTCCATTATGAACCAAGGTTGTGACATTCTACCCAAGTAAGTACCAAAAACCCCTCTGTAGAATCTACTAATTTACCTCCAGAGGACTCGCGTCACGAATGACGGCAGCCATGTGGTGGTTCTTTACCATCATCGTCACAAACTCTTACATGGCAAACTTAGCGGCTTTTCTAACAAATGAGAGAAGTCAAGGTTCGATCAACAGCGCTGAAGACTTATCCAAACAAACTAAAGTCAAGTACGGGACCATGGAAGGAGGATCAACCCAAGGTTTCTTCAGGGAATCAAACTATTCGACTTTTGAAAGAATGTGGACCCAAATGGAGCAAGCGAGACCGTCGGTTTTTGAAAAAAGTAACGATCTTGGGGTCGCTAGGGTGCAGAATGCCAAAAATAGAGGGTACGCGTTCTTGATGGAATCTGCAACCTTGGAGTACCAAATTTATACAAAGTGCGACTTAATACAAGTGGGAGGTACGCTCGACAGTAAAAGTTACGGGATTGCCATGCCCTTGGGTACGGTACCACCTCCAAACCTACTAGTTTCGTTTTACATTAAACCATTACAGATTATCCTCACAGGAGTCGCATTAATGAAGCTCTTTTACAAATGGGGGAGTCTGGATTTATCAATAAAATTAAAGACAAGTGGTGGAAGGAAGAACGGGACGAACCCCTTTGTACGGTTTGTACTTTTAACAATTTAAGTCAAAAGAGATTCTTTTTAATTATTATGCAGGCTGGTGCAGAAGAAGGCCCTTCTAATAAACTAGCTCTCCAGAATGTCGGTGGTGTGTTTCTGGTTCTGGCAGTGGGAGTGGCGTTGGCTTATATCGTGGCAATCTGCGAATTCCTGTGGAACGTGAGAAACGTTTCCGTGGAGGAACACGTAACGAAGAAACTTTAACAAAAAACAAGGATAATTCTATTTTTGTAGATTTCGTTTATGGAAGCCCTGAAGATCGAGCTAAAGTTTGCTCTAAATTTTAAGGTGACCAAAAAAAGGGTCAAACCGCAAGTGTCGGAATCGTCGTCTGACTCCGGCGAGTCCAGGAGTATGGCACGCAGTATTATACACGGCGCTGGATCTTTTCTACATCTGGATATATTAGGACGACACGATACCCCCGGCGGTTCAAGCCGACACACTTCTAGACATAGCTCCAGACCCCTAGATTAATTTTTTTAATATTTCTGTGATAGAATAGTGTAACTTCCATTCATATTTATCTCTGTTGTGACTTCTCCCTCGATTTTTCAAATAAATTTAATTTCGCATTTATTTGTCAATACATCTCTAAACAAACTTCTCAATGCGATCCGACGCGATATTAAATTCTGTTCAGAAAATCTGGAAATTTAATTAAATATCACGAGTGGACGTAGAAATCTAAAGGTCGGTTTATAAACTTGCCGCTGACGTTGCTATTTGCCGTCGACGTTACCGTTGACGTTGGGTTTTCAACCAATCAAATTGTGGTCGTGCCAACTTGAACGAAAATCCCCTGAAGTAGGGGGACATTTTTCTAGTTGACAGCACTAATTCTTCCATGGGTGGGGCCTCTCTTTTGGTTTTCTTTTAATTAATACATTTTGTTTTTTTTAATAACAGGATTACTTAAGAACATACTTCATATGGTAAATTCTCGTAAAAATAAAAAACATCATCAGAATTGAGATAGGGCGGGTGGGTGGGGCTTATATTTTGTCTTTTTTTTTTAATATACGTAGTCATCTTTTCACAACAAGAAACTATGACTATGGTCCATTTTTGCAAGAAAATATGGATTTTGCAATTATGGGGCGGAGACTAACTGTAAAATCGATATTCCCTTATACAAATTTTCCATTTTAAACATGTTTTAAGATTCATGATATGAAAATAAATCTACACATAATAAAACAAAAAATGGAAGCCCGCCCACCCACCCTGTCTCTATTGTGATGATTTTTTTTATTCGACGTGAACCAGAAAGGCGGAACTTAACTGCAAAATACTTATTTCTTTACAAAAATTAAAAACATGATTTTGAGTATCGTGTTGTTCAAAGAATACTATGTACAGTTAAAAAAAACGAAATATAAACCCCGCCCACCCACCCCATCTCAATTGCAATGATTTTTTTTCTTAGAAACTTAAAACACGAATAAAATGGTAAATTTTTGTGAAGAATAATGGATTTTGTAATTAAACTCCACTCCCTTAGCTTACGAGGAATATAAAAAATCATCAGAATAGAGAGAGGGCGGGTGGGCGGGGCTTATATTTTGTCTTTTTTTTCTTAATACATATATATATATCTTTTTACAACAAGAAACTTAGGACATGGTTAAAATGGTACATTTTTGCAAAGAAATATGGAATTTGCAAATATGGGGTGGTGCCTAATTGCAAAATCGGTATTTCGTTACACAAATTTGCCATTTTAAACATGTTTAACATTCACGTTGTGAAAATAAATCTACACATATTAAAACAAAAACGCAAAATATAAGCCCGCCCACCCACCCTGCGTCAATTGTGATGATTTTTTTTATTCGTCGTGAACCAGGGAGGTGGAGCTTAACTGCAAAGTATGTACTTATTTCTTTACAATAATTAAAAACATGTTTTTGAGTATCTTGTTGCTCATAGAATACCATGTATGTACATTAAGAACAAAATATATATAAACCCCGCCCACCCACCCATCTCAATTGTAATGATTTTTTTTCTCAGAAACTTAAAACGCATTTAAAATGGTAAATTTTTATAAAGAAATATGGATTTTGCTATTAAGCTCCACTCCCTTAGCTTACGAGGAATAAATAAAATCATCAGAATAGAGACAGGGCGGGTGGGCGGGGCTTATATTTTACTTTTTTTTCTCAATATACATAGCCATCTTTTCACAACAAGAAACTTACAACAATGTTAAAATGGTACATTTTTGCAAGGAAATATGGATTTTGCAATTTTGGGGCGGAGCCTAATTGCAAAACCGATATTTCCTTATACAAATTTACCATTTTAGACATGTCTTAAGTTTCATGCTGTGAAAAAAAAACTACACATATTAAAACAAAAAGGCAAAATATAAGCCCGCCCACCCGCCCTGTCTCAATTGTGATGATTTTTTTATTCGCCATGAACCAGGGAGGTGGAGCTTAACTGTAAAATATGTACTTATTTCTTTACAATATTTGAAAATATGTTTGTGTGTATCCTGTTCAAAGAATACCATGTATTTACATTAAGAAAAAAAAAGCAAAATATAAACCCCACCCACCCACCCCATCTCAATTGTAATGATTTTTTTTTTTAGAAACTTAAAACACTGTTAAAATGGTAAATTTTTGTAAAGAAATATGGATTTTGCAATTAAGCTCTACTGCCATAGCTTACGAGGAATAAAAAAAAATCATCGGAATAGAGATAGGGCGGGTGGGCGAGACTTATATTTTCTCTTTTTTCTTAATATACATAGCTAGTTTTCACAACAAGAAACTTGGTTAAAATGGTACATTTTTGCAAAGAAATATGGATTTTGCAATAATGGGGGGAGACTAATTGCAAAATCACTATTTTCTTATACAAATTTACCACATGTTTCAAGTTTCATGTTGTTCAAAGAATACTATGTACATTAAAAGAGAAAAAAGGAAAACATAAACCCTGCCCACCCACCCCATCTCAGTTGTAACGATTTTTTTTTTCTCAGAAACTAAAATCACGGATAAAATGGTTAATTTGTATCAAGAAATATAGATTTTGCAATTAAGCTCCACTCCCTTAGCTTACGAAGAATAATAAAATCTTCAGAACAGAAATAGGGCGGGTGGGCGGGGCTTATATTTTATCTTTTTTTTTCTTAATATACATAGCCATCTTTTCACAACAAGAAACTTAGAACATGGTTAAAATGGTCCTTTTTTGCAAGGAAATATGGATTTTGCCATAATGGGGCGGAGCCTAATTACAAAATCACTATTTTCTTGTACAAATTTACCATTTTAAGCATATTTTAACTTTCATGTTGCGAAAAGAAATGTACACACATTAAAACAAAAAGGCAAAATGTAAGCCCGCCCACCCGTCCTGTCTCGATTGTGAAGATTTTTTTATTCGCCATGAACCAGGGAGGTGGAGCTTAACTGTAAAATATGTACTTATTTCTTTACAATAATTGAAAATATGTTTGTATGTATCCTCTTGTTCAAAGAATACCATGTATTTACATTAAGAAAAAAAAAAGCAAAATATAAACCCCGCCCACCCACCCCATCTCAATTGTAATGATTTTTTTTTTAGAAACTTAAAACACTATTAAAATGGTAAATTTTTGTAAAGAAATAAGGAATTTGCAATTAAGCTCCACTGCCTTACCTTACGAGGAATAAAAAAAAATCATCGGAATTAAGATAGGGCGGGTGGGCGAGGCTTATATTTTCTCTTTTTTCTTAATATACATAGCCATTTTTCACAACAAGAAACTTGGTTAAAATGGTACATTTTTGCAAAGAAATATGGACTTTTGCAATAATGGGGCGGAGACTAATTGCAAAATCACTATTTTCTTATACAAATTTACCACAACATGCTTCAAGTTTCATGTTGTGAAAAGAAATGTACACATATTAAAACAAAAAAGCAAAATATAAGCCCGCCCACCCGCCCTGTCTCAATTGTGAAGATTTTTTTTATTCGCCGTGAACCAGAAAGGCGGTACTTAACTGCAAAATACTTATTTCTTTACAATAATTAAAAACATGTTTTTGAGCGTCGTGTTGTTCAAAGAATACTATGTACATTAAAAGAGAAAAAAGCAAAACATAAACCCCGCCCACCCACCCCATCTCAGTTGAACGATTTTTTTTTTTCTCAGAACCTAAAATCACGGTTAAAATGGTAAATTTTTATCAAGAAATATAGATTTTGCAATTAGGCTCCACTCCCTTAGCTTACGAAGAATAAAAAAATCTTCAGAACAGAAATAGGGCGGGTGGGCGGGGCTTATATTTTATCTTTTTGTTTCTTAATATACATAGCCATCTTTTCACAACAAGAAACTTAGAACATGGTTAAAATAGTACATTTTTGCAAGGAAATATGAATTTTGCCATAATGGGGCGGAGCCTAATTGCAAAATTACTATTTTCTTATACAAATTTACCACTTTGAACATGTTTTAAGTTTCATGTTGTGAAAGGAAATGTACACATATTAAAACAAAAAGGCAAAATGTAAGCCCGCCCACCCGCCCCATCTCAATTGTGATGATTTTTTTTATTCGTCGTGAACGAAGGAGGCGGAGCTTATCTGCAAAATACTTATTACAAGAAATTAAAAAAATTTTTTTGAGTATCGTGTTGTTCAAAGAATATTATGTATATTAAAAAAAAAAGCAAAATATAAACCCCACCCACTCACCCCATCTCAATTGTTATGATTTTTTTTCTCAGAAAATTAAAACACAATTAAAATGATAAACTTTAGTAAAGAGATATGGATTCTGTAATTAAGCTCCACTTCCTTACCTTACGAGGAATAAAAAAAATCATCAGAATTGAGACAGGGCAGGTGGGCGGGGCCAATATTTTGTCTTTCTTTTTCTCAATATATATATAGCCATCTTTTCACAACAAGAAACTTACAACATGGTTAAAATGGTACTTTTTGCAAGGAACAATGGATTTTGCAATTATGGGGCGGAGCCTAATTGCAAAATCACTATTTTCTTGTACAAATTTACCATTTTAAGCATGTTTTAACTTTCATGTTGCGAAAAGAAATGTACACACATTAAAATAAAAAGGCAAAATGTAAGCCCGCCCACCCGCCCTGTCTCAATTGTGAGTATTTTTTTTATTCCTCGTGAAGCAAGGAGGCGGAGCTTATCTGCAAAATACTTATTTCAAGAAATTAAAAACATGTTTTTGAGTACCGTGTTGTTCAAAGAATACTATGTATATTAAGAAAAAAAAAAGCAAAATATAAACCCCGCCCACCCACCCCATCTCAATTGTAATCATTTTTTTCTCAGAAACTTAAAACACGATTAAAATGGTAAATTTTTCTAAAGAAATGTGGATTTTGCAATTAAGCTCTACTCCCTTAGCTTACGAGGAATAAAAAAAATCACCAGAATAGAGATAGGGCGGGTGGGCGGGGCTAATAGTTTACCTTATGTTTCTTAATATATATAGCCAAATTTTCACAGCAAGAAACTTAGAACATGGTTAAATTGGTACATTTTTGCAGGGAAATATGGATTTTGCCATAATGGGGCGGAGCCTAATTGC